AACATGACACGTGGAACTAGAACAGTCTAATCCGGTGAGCGAAATAAAGGGTTCAGTTCGACATTCCAACCACCTAAAAAAAGGCCAGAGCGTACAACGTCCAAAACGTTGTGATAAATACGGCGACAAAGATGAGGACAACAGTCCGAAAAATGTAAATAATGTACAGAATACCACATCTCAGATATGAATTGTTATTATTTGTAAATAATACTGGGTAAAAATATAGAACTTTTATATATAACATTTCATTTTCTTATTTGAACCAAGTTATGACATAATAAAGTATCTGTGTTCCTTTGGTCTTCGATTGTGTCGCCAAATATTCCTGGTATGCTTTTCCGTTTTAGTAATTTTGGAGCACTTTCTGCTTTCGCGAAGTTCAGAATGGTCACTTCTTGCTTTTATATATATATATATATATATATATATATATATATATATATAGCTGGTCTAACAACAAAATTGTCAAAATCTTGTTACAGCATAATTGTCCATCCCACAAAATACTTAATATCTATACAACCACTAAAGTAATTGTGTTTTTTTTTTCTGTAGTTTTTCAAGTTTAGCTATCTTGACCCCCTTTGTTGAAAGAATCACTGAAAAACCATTTGAGCTATTCGGCTAGAAAGGGAACAGGTTAAAATTGTCAGAGTCACTGTCTTCCCAACTGAGCAATGGTGAGAGGAAAAATATCATTCCGGCCTTCAGTAATGGTACCAAATACCCTGGTTTCCATCTTCAAAAGGCATTCAAAAACCATCAAGAGAACGGCGAATAAGTTTGAAAAAATAGGGAACTGTAGAGAGGAAAACTGGGTCAGGAGGTCACAGCAGGAAGAGGGATAATCATTTCAACTTAGAGATAAAGTGATTAATTAGAAAAAAAATTAACTCAATTCATAAGACGACTGGGGCGTGAGACAGGAGTTTAACCTATGGCAGTCAAAAGAGCAGTGAAAAAAAGACTTGAAAATGAAATCGTACGTGAAACATGTGACGCATCTTGTTACTCCAGGACAGAAAAGTTAGAAGGTTAGCGGGAAGAAGGCGAAAAATCATACGGAATAAGTTGGAAAAGGATCGTCTAATAATATATATATATATATATATATATATATATATTAACCATAGTTAAGGATCTGAAGCTCGTTGAGCATTGAAATAAAATTCAAACATATATATATATATATATATATATATATATATATGTGTGTGTGTGTGTGTGTGTGTGTGTGTTTGAATTTTATTTCAATGCTCAATGAGCTTCAGATCCTTAGCTATGATTAATTAATAGTGAAGATGTTTATGATCGATATCATCACGATACTTCCGTTAAACTTGGAAGGAAATTATATACTCTTATTGCACAAAGTAAAGTCCAATAGTGTTATAAAAACCTCGGAGAATTCAAGTAATATATCTTTAATCATTACTAAAATACAACGGATCAGAACATAATCTAAAATTTAGACAATTTTGCTGCTACAGGATATCTGTACTTCTCTCTCTCTTTCTCTCTCTCTTTCTCTTTCATATATATATATATATATATATATATATATATATATATATATTTAAGAGTAAAACATGTTGAAATGGCTGCGCAACAGCTTTTATGTTTCATTATTATGATTGTGCAATGGTAACTGTAAAAAGTACAATCATAGTATTGAAAACATGAAAGCTTTTTAAGCCATTTCAACATGTTTTTTATTAAAATTTTATAATATATATATATATATATATATATATGTTTATATATATATATATATATATATATATATATATATAGAGAGAGAGAGAGAAATTTTTGTGTAGCGATTTCAATATATTATTTTATAATAAAAATAATAATAATATATTGCTCTAAATTGTTTTGAGCACCTTTTTAAAAGTAAATGTTACGAATAGTGGAATTTTACCGCACCTTTCCTTTCTCCCATTTGTGTATATATATATATATATATATATATATATATATATGAATTACAGATGAAAATTACAGATAGATGAAAATCAATCACACACAGGAATGCCTATTTCGCCCTTCCAACAAGTTGAAAATCCCAATCGAAGGGTGAAATGGCCATTCTTATGGGTGATTGATTTTCATCTATATGTAATTCATATATGCTCTGTAATAAATACATGGAGCTCTTTTCTGGGAATCAGTTTTAATATTTCATATTAGTAGGACTTACTTGGATTACCACGGATTTTGAGCTATATATATATATATATATCGACTCTCCCGTCTCTCTTCGAATTCGACGCATGAGGCAACTGACAGCCCGACGCTAGCACATGAGATTTGATTATAGTGGTGAAGAGTTTGTCCAGAAACATCTACACTTTTTGAAGGGTCGAATACAGAGACTTGGAGGGCTACGTTTAATTCAGAGTTGTCCTTCTCCTAGACCAGTTACCATACAAGGTTATTTACCTATAGATGGAGGGAGAAGAGGATTCAAACCTTTCCCAAGGGTATTAGCACGTGAGTGTAATGGATTCGATTTGAATTCGAACTCGGCTCTGCGATTCCTCAATCCAAACCTATATCCATTACACCACCGTGCCTCTTATGACTATAAACGTAAATTTTCATGGGTATAAGTGTTTGATTTGATCTGACCATAGATCATTAGTCAGACTTCTCGATCAATTTCGAAATGTCAAATAGAATTCGTATTCACGTTATAAATAACTTTCAAAATAATAAGAAATAATTTGGGATTAAAATAAATCCATATATATATATATATATATATATATATATATATATATATATATATATATATATATATATATATATATTTGTCTGTGTGTGTGCGTGTGTGCGCGCGTGTGTGTATAAATAAATGTGTAATAAATGCTAGCAAATAACCGGAAAATCAGAGAACTCGCCCCCCCAAAACTTTCGGCTAAATTTATATCCAGATCTGTAGTTCTCTCTCTCGCATCAAGGCATGATACACATGCATATATGTTCGTCTGTATATATATATATATATATATATATATATATATATATATATATATGTGTGTGTATATATAACTATATTCAATTTGACACGCACACGTGCATATATATATATGTGCGTGTGTGTATGTATGTGTATAAATATATGTGTGTGTATGTTTATATGTACGTATACATTTGTGTGTGTTTGA